AATATGTCTGCACACCTTTACAATTACGGATTCTATTGCTCTCCACAGACATGTTTCAACTTTTAATAGATATTTGTGTATTAGAAACAATGTAGTTTCATTTTGTGGATAACAATCAAAGGAAAGTCTTAAATCCAAACAAAAGATTGGGATGAGTCATGTACTATATCCCTGATTGCATTTTCCCAATCTGCTATGAAACCTGGTGACCATTGTGACTCTGTCCAGGGGGAAATGCAGTCTCTTCAGATCTTTACCTGGTGTCCATAGCAGTGACGGATCTCATGATGAATACATAAACCAAGACATTGTATGATTTCTAGTGTATATTTTCTGTTTAGTCTGCTGTCCATCACTCCCCAGAAACCGAGGTAACATTCTGGGGACCTAGGTTTGAATCCCACCATTCCAGATGGTGGAATTTGAGTTAAAAAAAAAATCTGGAAATAAGAATCTAATGATGACCGTGAATCCATTGTCATTGTTGGAAAAACCCATCTGTTCACCTATGTTCTTTAGGGAAGGAAACTGCCATTCTTATCCAGTGATGTCATCATCCCCTGAATGAATTTATTAAAAATTAATTTAAAAAACTCCTGCAAATACATTTATCTCTGTCTTAATTTATTTGATAACTGACAGTTCAAACTGGTTGATGGTCACTTTCACTTTTGATCAAGTTGTGGCCACTTCATGTTTGAAACAAAAAAAAATGCATGAATGGAACCATAGTTGTTCTCGTAGGAACAATGCGTGCTCTGACATGTTTGAAAAATACCTCATCTCACTTATGAACCAGATATCAAAATTGACCATGTCCCAATGCTGTGTACCATGAAAGCGAAATTCTTCACCATCTTATCTACTTGTGTTGCTATTTCAGGGAGCTTTGGACTTGAACCTCCCAAACTGCATCACCTCAAACTAAACTTCAAATGCCATTTCTCTGCACAACATTCCAACTGATCTGTGTCTCATTTGAACTTGCCCCCCTCTCACATTAAATGCATGCCCCTTAGTATTAGACATTTCCACTCTGGGAAAAAGGTTCTGACTGTCAATTCCAGCTATGCATCTCATAATTTTGTAGACTTCTATGAAGTCTTCCTCGGCCTCCACTGCTCCAGAGAAAACAACCCGAGTTTTCCTAATGTCTCCTTATAGCTCATACCCTGTAATCCAACCAGCATCCTTGTAAACCTCTTCTGCACCCTCTCCGAAACCTCCATATCTTTCCCGTAATGTGGTGACCAGAATTGAACACAATACTGAACACAAGCCTAACTAAAGCCTTATAAATTTGCAACATTACATCTTTTACTCAGTATTCCTTTCTTCCTTGCACAAGTCTCTTCCTTGTCGAGTCTGTGAGCTTCTGCACTTTCCCACGCAGCTCTTTCATTTACAAACTTTACCTCACAACATTACCCAACCCGGAGTCCCAGCCCTAAAGCTTCGCCATATACTGCACTCTCCCCACATCAAAACCATGATGGCAGTGAACAATGACGACTTGTACTTCCACAACAACCCACGTCCTTTGTCTCCCTCTGTCACAAATATGTTGACTTTCCCACTGATTCCACAATTAATGTCCACGCTTCCTCCAAGCAGGCTGTCCCCACCGCCCAGTAGTGACTTCCCCAGCTTCACCAGTACTGCAGTGCCCCCCGAACACCTTGAGAATTTCATCAAACTGACCGCTTATGGCAGGAACGGACAGGGTCAGCTTGGATTGATGGTCACTGCATTAATCAACTTTCTGAAAAAAAAAACTCATGACAGAAGATGGAGAGCAGGCATAGGCTTTTTGGCCCACATCTGCTGCACCATACAATGATAGCATCGCTGATACTGCTCTAAATCAGTTTGGTATGCACCTCAGAGAGGAACTTGCAGATGGTAGTGTTTTGATGCATCTTCTCGTCTTGTCTTTCCAAGTGGTACAGCTTGCAGGCTTGGTAGGTGCTGTCAAAGAAGAGTGGGTGAGTAACTGCAGGGCATCTTGTAGATGGTGCACACTGCTGCCACTGTCCCTCAGTGGCAGAGGGAGTAAATGCTGAAGGTACCGAATGGGTCACCAGGAGGTGGTCTGCATTGACCTGGATAGTGTCAGGTTTCTCGAGCGTTGTTGGAGCTGCATCCATCTGAGCAGTTGGAGAGTGTTCTATTACATTCCTGCTGATGCACATGCTTTGGGGAGTCATGAGTTGAAGTAATCACCATAGAATCTCTTCACTTGGACCTATTTGGTAGGCACATTATTCAGATGGCAGCTCCAATTCCGTTTCTCATCAATATTAGCACCCAGGATGATGATAATGGGGAATTCCATGAAGATATACCCAGTGAATGTCACTTGGCTGTGGTTAGATTCTCATTTCTTGGATTTCGTCATTATTTGTTGGTGCAAATGTTCTTTGTCACATAGCAGGCTAACTTCAATGTTGTCCAGGCATACTGCATTTAGATATCTACTGCTTCAGTATCCAAGGAGCCACAAATGGTGCTAAAGTATTGTGCAATCATCAGCAAACATTCCCACTTCTGACCTTATGACACAGGGAAGGTCATTGATGAAACAGCTGAAGGTGGTTGGGACCAGAACCTGATCCTGAGGAACTCCTGCAGCTGAGACGATTGCCTTCCTACAATCATAAGCCTCTTCTTTATTCAGTATTACCAAACCAGGGTGAAGTAGGGTAAGGAGGATAAGAGAATGTATAATGGAAACATAAAAAAAGGAAAAAAAAAGGAGCAGAACACTAAAACACAGAACAAGTAGAAAATTAAACTTGTCCAACCAGTACAGCATAAGGTAAGAGTCAAATACAACCATATAAGGACATAGTTTCTGAACCTTAAGTAACTGTTGGCGGTTCACTGTTATGGACATGCAGTTAAACTACCTGAGCCACAATAACTATCTGTATAGCTTAAGATAGTCACCTAAGTATTACTCACTCGGAAAGGCCGGCATGCTGTGAGCTGATGGTGGGGTTAGAGAATCTCGGAAGATAATGTGGAAGTGGAAGTCCTGTTGAAATTAGAGGACTCAGAACTTTGTCAGAAACTGAACAGCATCCTGTCTTTGTAGTAAGTAACTGACATACAATTTATTTAATACCAATGTTACGTGCAACCATTCTGACATGAAGGTGTCTTAATATGCTGTATTGAGCTGTAAAAAGTTGAGTGTCTCCAAGCTAGACTTTGAGACCTCTTCCACATGTCTGTGGTACAAGTTTGATTAAATTCACCTTGTTTTGATCTACCGAGGTCTGAAGATGCAATCTTTTCAAAAACCGGCTATCTAAGGAAGAATAACATCCTCTCGTTCCCATTGACTTTAGCTTTGTTATGATTCCTTAATACAATGCCGTGTCAAATGGAGCCTTAAGATAGCGGATAGTCCCTCACATTTGGAATTCAGCTGTTTGGTCCATGTTTGCACCAAGATTGTAAGGAGACCAGGAGCTGAGTGGCTCTTGCTGAACTCAAACTGAGATCCATGACCATGACATTACAAAGCAAGTGCTGCTTGATGTCATTGTTGTCACCCTGTTTTGACTGCATTTACGTATCGACAGGCCAGACAATTGACTGAAGGCTTGTCCACACAGACCACGTGTATGGTTTCTCTTCACTGTGAACGTTGCTTTTACCTTCCATGTTCAAAGCTCCTGAGGACCGAGTGTTACTGGCAGCTCTTGATCCAATGTTTGACTTGAGCTGCCTGTCTGTGAATTCCCCCTTTCCAATTCCCTGGAAAATAAATTTAAAACCAAAAGTGGAATGAATGCTGCTGGATTGTCATAAAACCCCACCTGGATCATTAATCTCCTTGAAAGGACAGAAGTTGAAAAAAAAAAAACAGGACAAAAATCAGGCTGTGGGAACTGGCGACAGAGCCAGTCATTATTTGTGCAGAGCCAGGAGAGAGTGCGAGGTTTGAGTAATACCACAACAATGCTGTCTGTGTAACAATACAAACTGTACAAACTGACCATAACCTTTGTCAGTCTGCAATTAGATAAATGATAAATGAGCTTCTGAAAATGCATTACTGTAAGCAAGTGGGAATTCATGGACCACCTTTAGACACATGCAGTCCCCCTTTGTACTCGAGAGACTTGCATCTGGAGTACTGGGTTCAGTTCTGGTCACTGTACTTATAGAAAGTTGTTAATATGTTGGAAGCATTTCAGGGAAGATTTAATTGACTAATACATGGAATGAGTGGATTGCCTTATGAGGAAAGGCTAGAATTTAGAAAGGAAAGAGGAGACTCGACTGAAACATAAGAGATCCTGAGGGGACCTGACCAGGTGGATGTTTGAAATATGGTCCCTCTTTTGAGAGAATCTAGAACAAGAGGGTCATTGTTTAAAGGTAAGGGGTGTGTCCATTTGAAATAGTGAGGAACATTTCCTTTCTCTCAGAGGGTTGAGAATCTTTGTAATTCCTTTCAGCAGAAGGCAGTGAATGCAGAATCTTTAAACATTTTTCTAAGGCAGCAGCAGACAGATTCTTGATGACTAAGATGATGAAAGATGTTCAGGGATATGCGGGCACACAGAGCTGAGGTTGAAATCAGATCAGCCATGATCTTACTGAGTTGCACAGCAGGCTTGAAGCGCCGCGTGGCCTACTCTTGTTCCTCATTCCTATGTTCAAATAAACTGGAGAACAAAGAAACTCGAGACTTGTCTGATTACTGGAGGCGAGGAGGGTGTTTGAGCTCCAACTGCACCCATCCAGTGAATTAGTTCCATTCTATACCCTCCCCCGACCAGCTTCAATTAACATCTGGAAAATTTTAATCAAATCAATCTTCATCCTTCTAAATCCAAGGGAATACACTATTCCTGCTGAGATGATGCATTTTGAAAGAAGGAGAAGAGAACATATGAAATAGGAACCACAGCAGTCCATTCTGCCCCTCGAGCCTCAAAAAGGTCAAAGCAGATCTATTTAGGTTTCAATTCCACATTCCCACTTTACCTTGATAACTTTTTTTAAATTCCTGTGTGCATTGCTGGCTGAACCTAGTTGCCACTGAGGAGGTGGTAGTGATCTGCTTTGTGAACCACTGTCGTCCATGAGCTGTAGGTGGACCTACAATGCTGTTAGGAAGGGATTTCAGGATTTTGACCCAGCAACACTGAAGGAATAGCGATATAGTTCCAATGAATGGTTAGTAGCTTGGAGAGAATTCATACCCAACAGAGTCTCAGAGATCTACGGCACAGAAAAAGGCTCTGTTGACTGTCTGATCTTGTCATTATCTTCCAAGTACTCTGTTATTCCATCTTTTACAGTGGACCCTAATATTTTTCCCCACCTTCATTCCCTGTTTTCTGACTCCCCTTCTTGAATACTGGAGTTACGTTAGCTACCCTCCAATTCACAGGAATTCTGAGAGTCTGTAAAATTTGAGGATAACCACTAGCGCATCTGCTATTTCTCGGGCCACTTCCTCAGCTGCTCAGAGATGAAGGTTCTGTCTCTGGGGATTTATCTGCCTGTAATCCCATTGGATTTCCCAATATCATTTTCCTACTAAAACTAATTTCTTTCAATTCCACATTCCCATTAAGACCCTGTGATCCCCTTAATTTTGGGACATTATTTGTGTTATTCTTTTTGCAAACCTGAGACACATTTTATTGGCCTACCATCACTGTGTCCGATTATAATTTACCTGTTTCAGATTATGAGGAGACCCTATTTTCTTCTTGACTAAGCTTTTACTATCAATCTTGAATTACGAGTTGAATGATGATCAGGAAACAGTTGTTGACCGCCAGGAAAAACCTATCTGGCTCATTAATATCTTTCAGAGAAAGATATTGTCATTCTTACCTGGTCTGGCCTGTACGTTACTCCAGGCCCACAGCAATGCAGTTGACTCTGGACAGCCCTCTGGGCAATAAATTCTGGCCGAGCCAGCAATGCCCATATCCTGTGAATGAATAAAAAAAAAAAAAAAAAGTGCTATTGGTTTGAATGGTCCCTGCAACCATACTCATTTTATTTTCTCCTGTTATTAAATCCCTTTGCTGAAATCTTAACTGTTCCCAACCTTTAGGTCTGTTGTTTTATTTGCCTAATTTGTATGCTGTTTCCTTAAATTTAATATCTGTTCATTTCCCTTTCTCTGCTATGGTTTGACCATGTTTCCCATTTTGTTCTTATGCCAGAGATTGAGATGAATAATTTTCATATCTTGTCCAAGCCCTCTTACAATGTTTGCCATTAACCATCTCCCATCATCTATTTAAAAGTGGATACACAATTTATCACAACTAGCTCACGCCTCATACCATTATATCTTCTTTCCATTAATTACAGGACCCTAGTCTCAGAAACAACAATATCACTCTCCATCTTAGTAAAGAATCCGATCCGATTATGGTCACTCTTCCTTAAGGCCCCATGCTCAACTTGATTGACAATTATTCTTTTCTCGTTACCCAATACAAATCTGCTGCTTCAATGTATTGATTCACAAAATTGTACCATATAAACGCTAAGCATTCCTCCTCTACTATATCGCTACTGATATGACTTGCTCAAATTTATATGTAGGTTGAAGTCACCCATAACTTTATTCCTTGTAAATCCCATTCTACTGCCTTCCCCAATATTACTGCAATTTGGGGTCTATAAACAACACTAATATCATATTCTGTCTGTTGGTGTTTCTAAGCTCAACCTATACAGATTCTACCTCACCACACCCTGTATCCTGGCTCACATCATATGACTTTGCTGTTTTAATCAGCAGTTCTAGCCTAATTCTTTTCTTTTTGCTTGCCCAACCTATCCTCCTTAGACAACCCACTTATTCCAGATTTCAATCGCGTGAACTTTCTCTGAAACTCCGAATAATTGTACGGAAGACCAAAACCTGCTCGTGGTATTCGAGATTTGGTCTCTGTTCCCTGTACAATTGAAGCAGAACATCCTTCC